TCCCTTTATAAATGTGCATACATAGCAACAAGAAAGTAACTACTGAGCTCCAAGAATGAAATTTGTATAAAGCAGGTCTGAGATACAATAATTTGGCACAGACAAAGAACAAGAACACAAAAAGTACAGGTACTCAGCTCTCAAGTTAAGAGCCAAAGTCTGTCCAATAGCATGCTGCATAATACTGAACATTACACTTCAAATACATACAGAAGTATCATTTCTGGCTTGAGGCTGAATTAACATTTTATACATCAGTAGATTTTAGAATTCCATAGTACACATCATGGTAAGTTCTACATCATAAGTGCAAGACAGAGCATTTTTCTTCTATAAAAAAACTCAAGTCATTTATGCTAATGACACTCAAGCATAGGGAAGGGGAATGTTAACTGAGATGCAATGCAAAGTAAATTATCTTATATTTATTAATGTGTTTTTAACCATTTTTCATAATAAATGGTCTGAATGTAGAAGTAAACAAGTAATTTAAGTGCAGGAAAATATTACTGGATACTAAATGACAGGAGTAGCTCAAAAAAATGACAGTAAAGAAAATGGTCATGAAGATACAAAACCAGATATTTATTTAGTACTGCATGCAGGTATGGCAGAAATACTTTTTGTTAAAGCCAATGTCTATTTCTAGAATAAGTCTTCTCAACATTTTACATTTTTTCTCATTAATGCTTTATCCCTAAGGGATAAAGAAAAGCAAAACAGTAAAAGTGTAAAATACTTATGTTTTGAGCATACTCAAGGCTACTTGGCTCTTTCATTTACAACTTAAATTCCTCTCCTAGGCCAAGATTAGGGCACTGGAGGGGAGCGAAACTTCAGACATCTACCATTAAAAACAGTGTAACAGGTGTAAGGCAATTACTCTGACACTAATCAAAGGGTTGTGACCTGTTCAGGCCTAAAAGCCTGAGAAACAATGTGCTAGGCTGTTACTATGCTTAAATCTGAAAGACTGACATTTCACTTAAACATTAAGTTAAACACCAAGCGTAAGAATAAGGAAGATTCAACACATCTTGCTGTATACAGTCATCATCATACCCTGTTATCACTTCAACTGGTGAATTGTTTTGAAGAATGGTCATTAAAAACAGTTTACATCAGTTTGCCCATACATACACTGAAACACAGATAGCATAGCTTTCTTGAAGTACTTCTTGGTGTTGGGCACCTATCCAGGGTAACCAGGCTATACATAGCAGATAATTGGTTATCAGTTTTCCCCAAACAGTTGTGCCTGAAACTCTACTTGCTACCCAACTTTATCAGCAGACTTCACACCACATAAATAGATTTCCAGAAGTATACAGTAAAGGTAAGAATAGTGCACCCAGATACTATTGCCAGAAATATGTACATACCAGGAAGAACAACGCTCATTTCCAGTTACAGATTAAGTGGTTGAACCTGGGGATTAGAAAGCTTACTAGTGGTCTGTGAACCACAGAAATCTGACTCTGGAACTTGAAAGAGAGGAAACCCAAGCACACCAATTATGTTACTCTTGACACTTGCTTTAGAAATCACACGTGAATGACATTTCAAACCATCGAAAACCATTTATTTAGTAACTTACCAAATGAAAAGCTTCTGGAGAATGTTGAAAACTAAGTAACATATGGGAAAGGACAGCAAGGGCACCAGGCCTCACTAGAGGAAACCAAAGTCGATTAAAGACCTAAAAAAAAAAAAAAAAAAACAACCCACATGTATTTCAGCAAGTCTAGAAAATTAAATTTCTATAAAATTGTAAACAGATGTCCAAATCCACAATATTTGAAACAGTCAGAATCACTGCATGCAACTGAAAGCTATAGATAAATTTACGTTCTCTTTGCAGAATAAGAGGACAATATCTACTGCAATACAAAAGATGCTACTCAATTGTAAGGCTGCTACAAATTCCTTTCCCTCTCCTTTAATTTTGAATGTTCTTTTCCAACATACCAACTCAATCTTAAGCAGAGTGACATCAATGAGAATGGTAAATTTCTGGACTGCAGCCAGTCCTTTTAGCAGTGCAATCACCCATGTTTCCACATGCTGAGCCAGAGGCCAGGACAACCAGTCAATCATTCTGAAAGATTAAAGAAAAATAAAAAGATGACACAAAAAAGCCAATATACTACTAGTTTTAATCTCAACAAAGTTTCTATATGTTACCCAGATAGTTACATACTTACAGAGACTCAGAAGTAATGCAAGAACGATTTTGATTATAATTTGATTAATTTTGATCATATCTGAAGTAATTTAACTCTGTAATAAATACTGATCTATTTAATACATTAAAAGTAAATACACCCTCCCCCCCAAAATACAGAAGCATATAAAATTAAGTATTATGCCTATTATTGTTACTTGTTTAAGAATATGAACTCTGCTTTTACAGACATTAAGCTAACATTTTTATTGTGAGGCAAAAACGTAGTACTGAAGGTGAAAAAGTGAACCTCTCCTCCTATACCTTTCACCCCAAACCAGACCCAAACTATTAATTTAAATTTTAAAAGGAAGCTTTTTCAGCTTAGAACTAAGTTCCTGGAAGTCAACTCAAATATTCTGTAAAAAAGACAAAATCTAGTCATTTTAACTACATTGCAGCAGGTGTTATACGGATCTTGTAACAGCTATCAGCAGCCTGCAGTCTACATATGCCCTTAAAGGAAGAATTTCACTACAGCAAAGGAAAAAGGACTTCCTTGCAGAAAGCTCTTATGTTAATTAGGCAAGGCCCTGAGCAATGTCTGACTTTCAAACTGGCCCTGCTACAAGCAGGATTGAACCATATGACTTCCAAAAGCTCCAATCTATAGAAACAGGAAGTTAGAAGTATATTTCTTAACTTACTTTCTGAAAAAGTTCCTTAAATATAAATTGTTTTAAGGGACTAAATTCTAGCACACAACTGAACAGGTTACAGTCTAGTAAACAGCCGCTATCACTACCAATAGGCAGTTAGTGAATATCACTCTGAAGAAAAACTATCAGCCCCTATGTTCTTCCCAGAGATCAAAAGTGCTTTAAACAGACTGAAATGATGGTTTCACTCCTCAGATTTCAAACTAAAGAAAACAACAGTCTTTAGCCACTCCAGACATGCATTCTGAGCATGCTGTATTACCATAAACAATCTAAATTTCCAGAGTTTATAATTTGGAACTGAAAAATGTATAGCACACATTTAAAATGTATGAATTATGTACTATCTGCACATGTAACATTCAAAGCTTTCTCTAAAATAAGGAGTCCTTAGGACAGCCAGCACAGCTCTTACAGGGTTTAGCTTGTATTACGGGGGGGG